CCCATCAGTCCACTGAAACACGCTCCAGAAACTCCATATTCCCTCTCTGCCCTGCTCTGTGCGAGATTTGCCCGGACAAAGGCGATGCTCTGATGGGGTATGTGCTGAGCAGGGTGTCTCGGTGCTTGTCCTACAGCCCAGAGAGATCCAGGCTCGCACCAAGCCACCTCAGCACCTCTGGGTGACAATGCTGAGTGATGCAAGTGCCACTCTCTGGTCCTCGTGCTGCAGGGCACATCTCTCTGACCATCACGGTCCCTTACCAGGGAGGGCTGACACGCCATGTGTGACCAGGAACAGCAGGGTCCTCCTGCCCGGGAGATGGCGGTGGCGAAGGGCAGGATGTCCCGCAGCAGCACTGCCTCCAAGGCTCGGTTTGGGGGAGCACACGTTGCACCCAGGCTCACCGTGGCAGCTCGGGGCTGGAGTGAGCAGGATGGCTTGGGGAGAGCTTGTGCTCTTCAGGGGTTCAGGATCGCCCCGTTTCTCCTGGATCCCTTTGAAATGAGGAATCCCCAGCCGGACCCACACCTCTGGGGCTGCCCAGAACTCCACGTGCCAAGGGGGAGCCGGCTCCTCTCCCCCCGCTGCCAGCTCTCCCTCCTCCCGGCGGATGGGACGCCTGCCATTTCCTTTGGCGAGTGCACTGATCAGAGGCTTTTTTCCCCCGCCATTCAGGCTGACAACTGGGCCTCAGCATCAGCTGCTTGTTGCTCAGCATCAGCCTTTCAGCAAACAGCAGGTGCAAGCGGTGCGACCCTGAGCTCCGCTACAGTAATCCCCGCTCCCCGCCCCGGCCCCCCTCGCACAATATTGTCCCCTCGGCTCAAGAATGTTTTTGTCTCCCCTTCACAGTTGTGAATTCTTTTATATATTGAAAAGAAATCTCCTTCTAATCTTCCTGCCCGGCCATGGCTTGGGAAGAGCGGGTGCCTCGCTGCAAGGGGGAGCGTGGCCCGGCACAGCTGTGCGGGAGGATCTGCTCCCTCCTTGGCAGCTGCCTGCAATGGCCCCCGGCCGAGCCGCTGCTCAGGGAGGGGATCATGCCCTCTCTGCCTGCATCCGTGGCAGCAAGAGCGTGCGGCTGCACGGGCTCTCAACCCCGCCCTGGCAGAGAAACCAGCTCACCCACATGTGGGAAACACGGAGGTGACACAGCAGCAGGTCTCTGCTCCGTCACCGACGTTTAACCACAGCGAGCTCTGCCAGAAGCCCCGGGGAAGGCTGTAAGGCCAGTGAGAGGCCAAACAAGCAGAGCTTGTGAATGCCGCATAACGCGGGGCTGCACGAGGGAGGCAGGAGCAGGAGGGATGCTCATGAACAGGGATGGAGCAATGTGCTGCATGATGCTCAGGCATCATCGCAGAGCTTGGCCTCAGCACATCTCCTCTGTACAGTGAAAACAAGGATCAATGACACTTTCGTTTTGTGTCACCCGGTACTGAAATTGCACAGCAAAGCCCAGCGCAGGAGGGAAACATCATCCGCCCCACAGGTTACCAGAGCCTCCCTTCCCCTCATGGACCAGCCCCACAGGCAAGAAACCGCATCCTCTGCCACACACGTGCACAGACACGAGCACACACGCTCCCTGCTGCCACTAAAGCGGGGGTGATGGTTCCTGCCTTCCCCTGGGGCAGGCGGTGGGGACGGAGCGGGGGGCACAGGGGCTCTCCAGGGAGCTGGGCTCTGCAGGGAGCTGCTGAGAGCGAGCAGGTGGTCCTACAGCAACGCAGCAGGCTGGAAATCCCACCTGGCAGCCCCAGAAGGCACCTGCAGGACTCAGGAGGTGTTTTTTGGGGGGAAACAGACCCACACAGGTCCCTGACGAGAAGCGGGGACAACGACTGCCCTGCCCGGGACACTGCGCAAACATGGGTCCCTCTCCTGCATGCTGAACAGCTCGGCATGGTTTGACCTCGCCAGACTAGATGAGATTTGCTTTACCCACAGTTCAGCCCCACACCGTGGCCATAGCTCCCTTTGCGAATAGTCTCCGATGGTCTCACTGCAGCCAAACCCCTCTGCAGCAGTTTTTACTTTGCAGACTTATTTTAAAACAAATGCCCTCAGCATGTTTACAAAGCAAACACTACCCCCATGCTGTGGGCATCCCCACAAACACGGGCCTCTGTTTAAACTCCAGTTTTGGACATGGCTTGGAGAAGCCATGGTCCCATCTGCCCGGAGAAGCACATGGCGGGACATGGGAGATGTTACAGCCTGTCTTCTCCACTACATCTTCCACTTTCCTTTTGACATGAGTTTCTGCATCAAATACGTTTCAGTACCTGTTCTGGCAGCATCGTGGCTCAGCACAAGCCCAGCTTTTCCACGACAAGCTGGCTTTTCCCGCAAACAGCTCCAGAGAAGACTCGCAGAGCAAAGGGGCATCGATTAAGGACACAGAACAAGTTTCCTCGTGCAAATGCTGTCAGTAGTTATTGCAGCTCGGTTGTACAGCTGAGGAGCTAGAAGAGAGCAGAGCTGCAGCATCCTCGGCAGGAACACTGGGCAGGAGGGTGCGACCCAGACCTTCCTGCCCTTCCAGTGCTCAAAACAGTTCAAGAACCTGCTCTCTCTTGTGAAAGCCTTGGCCTCGCACACCTACCCCGCTGCAGCAGCTGCAGCCAACTGAGATCCCGAGATTAGCACGTCCTCAGGTCCAAGTGTAGCTGTTTCTCAGCAGAATGCCTTCAGCTGCAAAATTCACCTGTAAGAGATCAAACCAAGCCAGAGCCTTGCTACCTTCAGGACATCATGCTCAGACTGTTCTTCCATCAGGTGTTCAACCATAGGGAACAAGCTGCAGAGCAGCTCTGATCGCACACAGCGAGAAATAAATCACCTGAGCTGGATGCCCCAGGAGCCAGCAGCTTCAGCATGGGAACCCGGTGTGGTTTTTCTTCTTTCAAGAAATCAATAAACTGCTAACCTGTGAAACCTACCCAGCTGCTATAGGACGGATGCTTTACGCATACAGAACAACCGTGGGAGTACCTCAGAACTCGTTCAGCTGGCAGGTACTGCTGGGTGCAGGTTTTCAGTCCTGCCTTTCCCAGGACAGGCAGCATTTGTGGATTCCCAATAAGCTACGAGACGCTTCCTTATGAACCTGCCTCATTCAAAATCCTCCCGTTTTATACACACTGCTAAAATAAACTCTATGTTTACCTTCATGAATAATTCCCTCCGCTCTCCATGCTTTCTCTGCTTAGTAGCCAGCCAGCTGCAAACAGGGCAAGTATCTTGAAAACCAGGAAAGGTGCAGTACATCTAACCCTGCCCTGCTGTCAGCCAAAGGCTTATCAGGCTAGGACAATTTTCCATTACAAATTCAGAGCAGACACCGTTAAGATCATGTCCAGGGGCACAGCGCCCTTGCATGTTTTCCCTATTAGCTCTGCTGCTCTCCAGAGGTGGCTCGAGGCAAAGCCCAGATGTATCACTATATTTTTTTAAAAATGAGAGTTAGGGGAAAAAGCCGCGGTTGCTAAGAAAGAGGGAGGGACAAGGGAAAGCAAGGCTGTACCCATTGCTGCTGCCAGCCCAGATGTGCTGCAGTGGGTACCGGACAAGGTCTGCCCCTGCCCTCTGCTGGGAAACACCCCACAGGAACAGAGGCCACCCAGCAAAAGCTTATTTTATTAGTATCATATAAAGATTAAAACCCTTATCCCCTGGAAAGCCCTCCCCAGCCCTTCTTTTTATACCACAGTGAAACCTGCTCAGCGCAAGGAAAGCCGGCCCGTTCCCAAGGCAGCCTGTGCAGTGCTGCTGTGGAAGCGAGTGAGATTTGATTAACATAACCCTGCTTCAGATTTATGAATCTCTCCCCCCATCCTATCCCATGATGCATTAGACATTGATTCATTTTACCTTTAACTCCGAGGTGCTGATCAGCCTAGAGAGTGAAGGCATTATTTATTATGTATGCTAAAAATCAGACCTCTCCAATGTTACAGGACAGGTTTAAAAATCCGTGGGTCCCTTCCAGCTTAGAAAACCTATTTTTAACAATCTGAGTCTTGCAACATCCCGACATGGCTCTAACGCTCGTTAGAGAAGCTCCTCTGGCCAGAGACGGATCATAACACAGCGATTCAGTTCCTACGTTCTTTTGAGAGTCTTCAAGGAAAATTGCAGTGATTCACTCCCGTATTAAAGAGCTGAAGAACATACAGGTAAAATAATGTGTTTCCGATACGTGTTGGAGACGTTGTGCCTGCGCTCCTCACCGCCCCTGCAAGTGCTCCCACCACTTCTCCAGTTAGATTTGCCATTTTACTGGGAATCAGAAACTGCAGCTACTGTAGAGAGCAGACGAGCTCTGCAGCACACCCCGCAGCACCGCTTGCTGCGTGCCTGCCCTGGCCACAGCCTGCTAGAAAAAACACAGGCAGCCCGCGGTGCTGGAAGGGACAAGGGCTCAGGGGTTTAGGGCTGCACAGCTGCCCTTACCCATCACAGCAGGAATCCGCTACCCAAATCGCTTGGGCAAACCTGAAAACCCCCGCCCTTGGTCCTTCAGGGGACACTAGACTGGAGTGTAGCAACTGCAGCGGTTTTGTGACTTGCACGTACAGGAGCAGACGACATCTGTAATCATTCTGTGATAAAATATCAATGTCTGGTCCCATAAATAAATTCTCACATTAATGTACAGTAACGCACTTAGTGTTTCACATGAAGTGCACTTCACATGTGCTTCAAGGCTCATTTCCAAAGCATTTTCAGGTGCAGCTCAACAAGATATTCTTGGCAGGCCACCTCTGCTACCTCCATCCAGAGATTAAGGCTGCAGATTAAACCCTGGGACACTTCCAGAGTGACAGCCATCCACCGTAGCTGAATAAACATGAAGTTTAGGAAGAAGGCACTACCACCATGACTTTAGAGAGCTCTTTGTAGCTCTCAATAAAGTGAAGTTTTGTAACTTTTATAAACACTTGGTGACCTACCTGGCAATTCAGGAAAGTGAATTTTTCTTCAATCTGTGGCATTTTAAAATTCTGTATTAGTCTACTGTCACCTAGTATAGACAGATGGCAACTACAACCAAAAAAATACACAAAGCTTTAAGCTCTTTTTTGTTAAAACTGCTGGGAGGTTGCCTACATGGCAACTGTTTAATCAATTGTTCTGTCATATTTACAACATCCAATTTTTCTTTGTGATTCACTCTTTAAGGCTGGCAGTATAGTGTGCAATTTTCTTTAATAAACCTAGGTAAACTTCAATTTGCTGTATATAATATGCACTGAAAACACCCACAAATACTGCTGCGCTCACTCCGACTTCTCTAGCCAACCGAAGGTGGAGTGTGAGTAGATGCTTTTGCCAAAAGAACAACCTTCAGAAAAAAAAAACAAATAACCCCAACCCAAAAAGTCAACCTCCTCCTGCCTGCTTCATTCACAGATGTCACAATACAGGTCTGACATTTTAACTGTTCCCAGAATGATGGATGGTGACACCTCTGAATGAATAACACAGCGGGAGGCAGTCAATCAGAGCAGCAAAGACTTGGGGCTGCACTGAAATATCTTGAGAAGCAGCAGGAATAGGAAAGGAAGTATGCAAAGAAACGTGTTATTTTAACGAGGTTTTAGGAATCATCACCTAAAACACTCCTTGTGCATCGATGATGCTCGAGTGGCCATCACGGCCACCCCCATGATGTGGTTGGCGTCGGGTTCCCAAAATGGAAGCTATTAATCCCATCGGAAGGTCACAATGGGAAATTTCACCTTCCAGTGGTACTACGCTAAATGCTAGCTATTTAATGGCACTCAGTTTTTCTTAAAAGAGCAAAATTCTTCCCTCATTGTCCATTTTTTTTGTGGGGGGAGGGGGTGGGGGGTGTTGACTTTCTGTGCTCAGTAATGGCTGCCTCTTGTTCCAGGCACACAGCTCACCAGCCTGCTTCGATGGTGATGCATCCCCTGGATGAACCTCGGCTCTGTAACGCTGAGAATCAGGATGGCTTACGGACAGGATGAATCAGGATGATCACAAGAAGGGAAAAAAAACACTTTTCCTTCCATGCTATGGTCTGATTCATTCTGTCAAAGCCCAGTCCAACAGCATCTCGTCACAGAGCAGGCAGAAAAGAGTCCACAAGTGATGATCCCAGAATCACAAGCAGGAAGAAAAAGAGTTGTGCGCTCCAGCCTCTATGGTCAAAGGCCTCGTGGTGGTCAGGGTGCTGCCTCTCCACTGGTGGACGTTACTTAAAAGTGGCATTAAACGCCCTGCCAATGATAAGTCTGCGCACTTCACTGGTGCCTGCCCCTATCTCATACAGCTTGGCATCACGCAGGAAACGCCCCATCGGATAGTCATTGATGTAACCGTTCCCACCTGCAACCAAAAAGAAGACACAAGTCATTTCTTCTCTCTGATTTCAGGGACTGAGGGTGGGATGGGAGAGAGCACTGCTCTTGCGCTGCGCTTGGCTCTCTCCAGCAATCACTCAAAGAAACAACCACTGCCAGTGACTTACCCAGACACTGAATCCCATCCAGAGCCACCTGGGTAGCACACTCTGCTGAATACAGGATCACCCCAGCGCAGTCCTAAAGGAGAGTCACAATGATGACAGAGTCAGCAAAGGTGTCACCCGCCCTTCTCCAATCTCTACAGACATCTGCTAACAAGCCTGAAATACTTGATCACAAAGGCACAGGATTCATTCCCCAGAGAGCAAGAAGATGCAGCAGTCTTTCTGTCACTGCAGAACACTTGTGTCAGGTCTGTAAAGGCCACATGAAGACAGAAAAATTTAAAAAAAAAAAAAGAAAAGAAAAAAAGGAGGAGTGCAGCAGGGAAGCTGGTCTCTCACGAATGCACATCATACCCACAGGAGACCAATGTGATTTGATTTGGGACGCAGGGCTGTGTGCTCCAACTGTTAAACACTTGGTCCCCTTCCTTTGATAGAGGTGTGGTGACAGTGCCAGTTGTGGAGATGACAACACCTCACAGTGACTGCTACAGCCCCTTACAATAGCCAGGATATTGTGTTTGGGCTTCTAATAAACACCTACTGATGCTGCTAAATCTGTTGCCTTGTAGAACAAGGCTTTCTTTTTCTTTGGGGGGAAAAAAAAAGCCACTCAGGGCTGTGAGTGAGTCACTTCAACCTCCAGTACAGCAGACACAGTCCAGGTGGAAGCCAGCTCACCTTTGCATTGAAATGGCCCTGGTCACAGGCCTTTGCCACGTTGTAGACATACTGCCGACACGCCATCAGCCGTGTGTACATATCAGCCATTTTGCCCTGCATGAGCTGCACGTCGCAGGAGATGAGAGAGACATTAACATGAGTGAAGGGAAGATTATTTTCTGCATGAGCACTGGGGATCACCCATTCCCCAAACTATCTCAGAGAAACTAGACAAATGAGAAGACATGGATTCAGCAGACATATACGAGGGCGCTGGAGGTTCTGTCGATTCACAGACTCCCAGATGTCAGCTGCAGTCCCTCACCCACCAACAGTGGCCTCCGGTAAACAGGCTCAGAGATCCTTTCACCTTCTCACCACATCACTACATCACGCAGCCCCATGGTAAACAGGCTCAGAGATCCTTTCACCTCACCACATCACTACATCACGCAGCCCCAGCACAAACTCCAGGCAACCTTCTCCATGCAAAGCCCTCCCACAACAGAGCTCTTTGTCTTCTCATTTTTAAAGAGAAAAGCAAGACCACAAAAATTTCTAATTCCTTTTCTGCCTCACCTGGAAGTGGCCAATTTTCTGTCCAAATGCTTCTCTTACATGTAGGTATGGAATTGCGTGGTCAAGAACAGCTTGCATGAGCCTAAGAAAAGCACAGATATGCAGGAAAACAACAGAACAATTAATTAATAATAATTAAACCTTGGAAGCACAATCTAAGGCAAAAAGGTTCTCATACCTAAAATGATATGCTGCTGTCTTCCTATAGCTCTGCTCAAACAATGCTAAGAATAAAATCCAAAGGTCCCATTTTTCTCCCTAGTGCTCTACATATTGCTCATTTGGGATGTCTTGTGGTAAGGTCTTAACTTCTTAATTCAGGGGACCAAGACGAAGAGTTGAAGAGCTTTCTTACAACCGTAGCCAGGACAGTTTGTGCTGCCTTTCATCTCCAGAGACCACCAACTCAAGGAGTACCAGCCAATACCATAAAAAAGCGGAGGCAAGAACAAGAAGGCTGAAAAATCCTCCTTCTGCTTTGTAGAAGATGGTCTTTCCACATCAGGATTAATACAGAGAGACCACTTGGGAGGACAAAAGGACTGTAGGGTAAAAATAATTACTGGGGAGCTTAAGGACTGAATAAATGAAGAACAAACCCTTTACCCAGTCCAGTGGTCCTTCTACGTGACAGTCTGGATAGTCGTTTAGATTTTAAGGACTCAGTAATGCAAATGAGCTGGTTATCCCCAGAGTAATACACACTGTAGGGATACACAAGCAAGCAATCAGGGACCAAGGCAGATTTATCATCTCTGGAAATGTTTACGTCAAGACTAATATTTTCAAAAGCTTGCTCTGGAAGGTCTGTGGCCTGTGCTACACTGGAAGGCAGAGATTTGCAAACTTTCTTTCTGGCGTTGCTTCTTCTATCCCTTGCCCCTCAGAGGCCGTTCCACATAGATGCTTTCAAACTGAAAAATACTGCATGAGGAGTGGAGAGGTGAGGAGAGCTGAAGGAAAAGGTGGAGCACACGCAGAGCAAGCCGTGGCTGCCTGGGAGGGCCGAGCTGAGTACCCTCCAGCAGGAGTCCATCAGAGCAGTGAGCAGCTACGACATAGCTGGAGTACCCAGCAGCTACAGGATCTCCCTGCTCCTGCCTCCTCCGCAGCTTGCTTCCTTCCCACAGCTCTGACCCAGCCACCTCCTCCCAGCCTTTCCTCTCCTCCCAGAAGCTGTCCCAGTATCTCAGCTCTCCATCCAAGATGCATCCTGCTGAGAGCTGCAACCCCAGTTGGAGAACCACTGGGCTAGGAGATCATGAAGGATCCTTCTGGCCTTACCATCTATAAAAGATGACAAACCCTTACCCCAGCGGCCCACCAGACAGCACGAGTCTCTCCAGGTCCAATCCGCTCATCAGAACGTAGACTCCTTTGCTGAGCATCCCCAACACGTTTTCAGCTGCAGTCAGCAAAGGAAAGTGATTTATGTATGTGCAAAACTAAGACAGGCTGTTGTCTGAGGGCCTGTGTTCGCTGGGGAGAGGATTCAAACTTTCAGTCCCATTCATCTTTCTTTTTGGCTTGAGACACAAACATTCAGGATGAGCTAGACAGACACTGAGTTTTGATACATACGCTCCCTGCCACTGAAATGTCTTTTCCATCCAACCAAAGCCAAAAAGGAAAAGGCAGTAAAGGGTTATAAAGTGCGTCCTACAATCACTGCTATTCTCTTCCCTATTTTCTAAAGAGTAAGGTGCTCTCCAGAGATCTTGCAGCTCAGCATTTGTATCAACAAGAATAGGAGACTTAATAGCCTGGGAGGACAAACTGGGAGCCCCCTTCACCATCCCATTAGTTTGTATCTAACCCAAACTGACAGCACTACCATCTGATGTCTACTGTGTATTTGAAATGAATGCAAATCCTGGTCTGATATGCTTGGGTCACCTCTCTGAGCGTTCCCGATACAGGAACCGAAGCTTACACAGGCAAGCAGTCAAAGCTCACCACTTATCACGCATCGGACTGATATATATTAATCTTCTGAGATTGGAGAATATGAACAGTCATTATCCCCCCTTCTGTGAGAAGGGCTGAACAGAACATTGCAGTTGTTATAAATAAATGTTTTAAAAAGACAAGTATTATTTCTGTGGAAATGGAACAGGAAAATAGCCACATTAGATAATGGGCTGACAAAAAACCTCAAGAAACTGTTTCACTTTAGGACAATTTAAAGCACGTGCTGATGTTAACAAGTATAAAAAGAAAAGCAGGAACAAAAGGCTCATCTCAGCAAGGCTGTACTCGTACAGTGAGGAGAGAACTTAAAGCCTAACAACTGTGCTTTGTAGATGGACAGAGATTATCCACTGATCACGCCATATAGGAGAACGGACATATACTTCAGGCTTTGATCACAAGAGATCTGAGAGGTGTAATATGCAAAGTGAAAATGAGACAGGACTTGGACACATGCAGATAGTCTCCTGAAATAAATAATCTGTTTTTCAGTGGCAGAAGCTCATGGACTGCATTGTCTCCTGCTTACTGAAAAGCATGTTGACATAGAGTATGGAGAAGTGCAGCCTCTGCAGGGCCATCATCATGATATTGGAGCTAGAAAGAGGAAGAAGAATGAAGCTTGGCTTTCAGTGAAAAAGCTCAAAAGCCCCACAGACAAGAAAGAAAAATACGACTAGCAAACATTGCTTTGAAGAACAGAACACAAACGCCAGCATCAGTAATAATAAAGTGACAAAGCTGTTCATGAGTAATGACATCTCACAGCTAAAAAAAGGACTGAATAGCCTGAACACTTTCCTGTACGTCCAGGGAAAAGGGATGGATAGGTGTGTGGTGGGCTGAAGGACATGCGTGCTGACTGCACAAGGCGGGCAGACCTGCTGGCTGCGTATCACAGAAAAAAAAAAAAAAAGTTGGGGCTCTGAACCAACTTTTATCAATGCGACGTGACCAATGAATCCATGGACAACACTTACTATGAGGAAAACACCAGCCGCTCAGTGGAGCACGGCTGACAGTGAATCCCACGTATTTTGAAGTGGATGGAATTGCAGTGCTAGAGGACACCTTGATCTGAGAGAAAGATCCTGCAGACACATGAAATGGCATTAAACTGGTTCAGCTTCCAAGGCAGAAGATCAGAAGCGGCATTAATGGCCAGAGTGCAAAGTGTGTTAACTTTCAACACTGCAGTGATGTGCTTCTCCGAGTTATCAGAAAATGGAAATCCCGTTACCATGAGAACATGCTGTTCTGTACAGATGATTACCCAGGAGATGATCTGAAGACTGAGGCACTGGCCTTTCTGATTTCAGAGTGGAGGGATCCAATAAAGTTAGAAATGTCAGATTTCAGCTGAAACTCTTCTACTCACTGCAAAGCAGCTTTCAGTGGTGTATGGGGAGCAGAAGAGTTACTTGCTCTGCAGACATGCAATTAGGATTTTCATGAGTTCAGATAAGGCATCTCCTCCACTTGCTATATAGAGGCTGGGAAATTTTTTTTTAAAACAAAAATAGCCACTGGAGTAACAAAAACGGCCATTACAGTGGCCCCTGCTGCACTAACTAATGGGGGAAAGGATGTCCATTTTCAGGCTCTGACCCCAAAAGAAATGCTACAGGCAAACCAAAAGTCTGTTGGATAGTCTCCAGTGATTTTGGAGAAAAAAAAAAAACCTTCAAGGCAAATAAGCTCTCCTATATACAAGATAATGGAAACAATTAAGTTTCTTTAGAAGCCTCACCTAGGCTTTGCAGAAGCAGCGGTTAAGAGTTAGGTCCATGAGGGTGAAACGGGAGTGACCTAACAAGGGATGTGCTCATTCACTGCAATCCAGTAGACTGCACTTTTCAAGTTCCACCAGCTCTCTTGCGAGGCTGCCAAAGAGCAGATAACCATCTGCAAACCCTCTAGGTCACAGTCTGAACACGCATGTAATTAGTGATCCAATTTATCTGATCAAGAAGGCAGGAAACCACCACATACATACTGCCCTGATTTGAACCCAGCTCACCGGGGATCTTGCAGTCTTCAAAGATCAATTCACAGGTATTAGACCCTCTCATTCCCAGCTTATCGAGCTTCTGGGCTGTGCTGAAACCTGGCATTCCCTGCAAAGTCAAGACAGTAAAAATACATTTCAAATCTCAGTTCTGGCAGACTAAATAAACTCACTAGAGATCTGTGAAATTTCCCTGACCACATGAACATGCGTAGGGTACCAAAGGGAGTCAAAGTGAACTGCCCACTCTGGGAACAAGAACAGGTGTAAGTGCAAGTGCAGAGGAAGCAAATGAGCAGAGACACACGTACATGTGGGGGCACATATGAACTGAGAGCATCCGTTTTCTAATGCACATAAATATTAAATAGATAAATTATTTGGACAGCTGCCAGCACTGACTCTCCTAGAGTAAGGGTTGCAAGCTTTGCCAGTAACTGAACTATTCTAATTGCTAAGTCAGGTTAAGTCCATCAGAAGGTTTACTGATCTCTGAGATTTTATATTTCCAGTACCGTTTATTTTATTACAGCTTCCTGTCTTCCTTGTGGTGACAGAGATGTGCATAGCATAGCCTCAAATAATTAAAAGGGAAGAAAAAACCCAATAGATTCCTGTTTTCCAAGGGCTCCCCACTGAACAGCCCGTTTCTGCTCCCTTTGGCCTGCTCTGCATCCATGTTTGGGTCATTTCAGGATTCCAAAGGGGCAGCGCAAGAAAATGGGGGGAAAAAAAAAAATGAATAGAGCTACTTTAATGTCTTGGCTTAAAAAAACCCCACAAAGTTAGATAATGGGATAGTAGGACATATTTACAAGGCCTCCAATACCTCTGGCAATTTCTGGCAGCAAGCAAGCCCTTTTATATTAGAATCTTGTCCATTCTCTCCACGTTTCTAGCCCAAAAGACTGGCTATATGCTTGGATACCAAAATTCAGGAGTGCCCAGCTGACAGTGCAGTACGCCATGTCACTGGGGCAGAGGACACATCTCATCAGTTTATAAAATTCAGGCAGGGAGTAGCTTGTCTTTGAGCAAGGGGCTGACAGTTACAGAAAGAACACTAGCTGGGGTTTAAGTGAGCCAGTTAGGGTGAAGGAGTTAGCTTTAAAAACCACACTACAATAAGCTTGTGAGAATTATTAAACCTACCCTCTCCACAATGAACGCAGTTATACCTCGGGAGGCTGGAACAGCATTAATGTCAGTTTTAGCATAAACGATGAGAACATCTGCGTCTGGCCCGTTGGTGATCCAAAATTTGTTCCCATTCAAAACAAAGTAGTCTCCTAGAAGCAAAGAAAGAGCTACAATCTGTTAGCTCACAACAGACAACAGAGCAACACCTATATCCTCACTCCATTTACTTCACAACAGGCTTCCAAGTATGTTCTTTAAGACCCCCACAAACAGCACGCACAAATCCTTCCCAAGCTCAAGAAAACTCATTTCCTTCATTTCTGGAGTCCAAAGACAGTTTAACAAATGCCTGACAAACTAAGGCACCTAGCACTGATTCCATAATACCACCAACCTCTACCACCATAATCAGAAGTCTGCTTTTAGACCTTCAACCATCCACCCTGTATCTTCACTACCTGGCTTTATCACACGTTGGATCTCCTGGGAGGCAGCACAAGCCTGCAAACAGAGCCTGGTATACCCAAGACTAAGCTCCGCATCTCAGTGGTGTTGGGGAGGTTAGTCAAAATTTACAGGAGACATTATTTACAACGGCTATCTACCCAGGCAGCACACGACAGGCTTTACCTTTCTTATCTGCTTTCAGCTTCATGGACACAACATCAGATCCAGCATTGGGTTCGCTCATTGCTAAGGCTCCAATGTGCTCCCCACTGATTAGCTGGAAGAAAAGACAAATATAAGAAAGGGAGGGAGAATAGTAGCATTGTTTCTGTTCCCTCTTTAGCCTGCCTTCCATTTTTTTTTCTGCACTGAATCTCCACAGTAGCTATTCTATGCAAGAACTGCAAACAAGAGCCGCTGTTCCTGGTGGAGTCCTAGCAGGGAGCTCCCTTGTGCTGCTCTGCTGAAGGAACAGAACCAAATCACAGTGGGATGAGAAGGATGACTCAGCTCACATCTGAGTTAGACGAGTACAGCCCTGCTTATAAAACACCATCTCCAGGAAGGTGCCAAAAGAACCATGCAGGCAGCCATATGCCTTTCACAAGCTCCTTGTTCTGCACTTTATGACTGCCCTTTTACATAAACAAGAGTTGTTAAACACAAAAGGCCAATGAGGGGGATGAAAAGAGATTGCAAAGTTCTTAGCAACGTTCTCATAGCCCGGTCCCCCCACACTCACACTACAATAGCAGATGGACACCCTCCTTCTGTGCCTGCTCATACCAGGCTCTGGCATAGCTGTTCCTTCCTCTTCGTTGTTCCTTTCATCCTGCCCTTTTCTCCTTGCCTTTTGTTTTCTCCCTGTGTACTTTTATCCGTCTTCTCCTCCTTTTGATCTCTTATTTTTTAAAAAATAGGCTCAATGCTTAAGATACACGTTCAACCAATTCAATCCATCAGCGCATTTCTACAGAAGTCTTCGTGATATGCTCAAAACTAGTTAAGTACCACTAAGTATTCTGTCATGAACCAAGACAAGTAAGAACTAAAGCGATCACACATCTCATACTGAAAGGCAGTGAATGAGGGCATTAAAATACACCTGAGCAGCAATGAGGACAATTCAGGGTTACATATTAGCAGGCTGCACAACACTTCGAGGAAGCGACACTGTACTTTGCATGTGGTTTAAATCAAGTTTCTTGCACTGATAATTTCGCTGATAATTTCAGTAGCTGGGATTCAATATACTAGTTAAGTTTTTCCAAGCATTTAAATACTGAAATCTGTTTAACATGCTTTTGAGTCACAAACATCAATGCCCCAAATGACGAAGAAGTTTCACATGTAGTTAATATAGCATAGGCAAACCAAGCATTTGGGCAGTGAGAAACGGAGAATATAAAATAGGAAAGCAGTGAGTTTCATTCAAAACTCTCAAAACGATTTGGGAAGTTGGAAGAGTATCATCCAGTGTCACCTCAAAGCCTCATTTAGCAACACAGCTCCAGAGAGCTGGACTATGCTGCCTATAGACATGGACCTCGGCACAGGCCAAGGTCAATGTGGATTAATAGGACAAAAATTAACAAGCTAGAGAAGGGCAAGTTTGGCAAGTACAGTATTTCCTAAAGGTTGGGTGACTGAAATCGGCTAGTGCTTAAAATGCTACACACCATGAAAGACACTCATCCTTGCACGCAGCCAAAACCCAAATGCTTTCCAGTTTCTCCCCCCTCTTCCAGCCACATACCTTGGGCAAGTACTTGTTTTTCTGGGCCTCATTGCCGTTACGCACTAGCTGGTTGATACAAAGGTTTGAGTGGGCACCATAACTAAGCCCAACAGCTGCTGATGCACGAGAAATTTCCTCCATCACCAGCACGTGGTCCAGATACCCCAAAGCAGATCCACCATATTCCACTGAAAAGAGAAGAGGAACCTCACGTTAACCACCATGGAGTGTATCGCACATGCACAAGACCCCAGGGTCAGGCTCAGTCCTGAATGAGATCTAAGACACTTACAAGAGAGCTTCTGTTTTGACTGACACTGTACCCGAGCTGGGCACCTCTGGCTTTCCCCACCCTCTCTGAATTTCAGTTTTCTTATCTTAAAGGCACAGTGATGTTACTTCTTCGGCATAATCAATAATTTACTTTTACAGCATAGTTTTATACATATAACATGCATAAGGACACATCTGAAACATGCTACTGACACTTGCACAATAGTGAGTCCTCCTTCTCAACCATCCTTAAATGCAACCTTAACGTTATCACAAAGATTAAATCAAAGTGGCAACCTGTATTAGGTGAGGGGACAAAGGAACACAGGCAGAGTTTGTAAAGTCCACACGTTTGTCATAACAAGGACCCCTAAACAAGTGAGGAATCCTCAAACTGCTCAAAAAGTGGGGCACTAGGGACTTTTCTATGCCCACAAATGTGCAGGAGACCAGCACTTTGATGGGTGGCCGATTCGGAATGAGAAAGATCCGCAAATGTAACTGCTGTGATTCAACAGTGGCAAGAATGTGGATTTCAAGAGAGGATGAGGTGAGACAGAGCATGCATGACCATCGTAACTGGGAATCTAGCGAGGCACACTGAGCTGAGTCTAAAACTGGTGGCTAAGATGAAAGGGACACAGTAGAACAGGGAGAGAGAGAAGGCAGGGAAAAAGAGAAGGCTGAGAAATGCATAATGGCCTTGAGCAGCTGACAGCCTACATAAATATATACATATATATACCTATACACACATTTATATACACACAAATACAGTCACATCCCAAAGTAAAAGCTTCGTTCTACAGGCAAGAAGCAAGTCATTGTACTGCGAGAAGAACTAAAACAGGAGGACATAAACACTCTGAACGGGTCAGGGAGGTAATCTGGGAGCACTCACTCGTCATCAACATGAACACTGTAAGCAAGCAGCAACAACGGTAAGAGCAAATACGTTTGTATGCTCAGAGCGACCAAAGAGCTGAGTGCACAACCGGGACTCGGAGAGGGCCACAGCCCCTAACTCGTCAAATTAACACAACAGCCACCGGCATTAGATGCAGCCTTTCCTCCCATGTCACTCATTCCCACTCCTGTCTTTATCGGCAGGGCTCTCTATCCTCTGAAATCACCTCCCTACTACAAACCAGAGTTTGGCGTTTTACTATCAATATCCTGAAAGATGGGTTTAACAATTTCTCATATATGCCAAAAGGAGAGAGTTTTCTATTCAGTCCTATAGAACAGATGGGTTTGGCGCTATTGCCTCAAGAAAGGAAAGGTAACTGCCTGCTGTAAGCAGTACTGGCCCATGATTGCCTTGTACTGCAAGAGGTACAAGAAAATAACCCTGCCAGACAACTCCTCATATAATACAAACCACAGTGTGAGTTAGAGTGATGCTGCCCTTTCAAAATTACTCTTTATGTACAACATGCCTGTATTATCCTTCCATGGTAGCTACGTATTTGCATTTCTTAACTTAGCTCTTTATAAAATAAATGGAAAATTACATCAAACCAACATAGTTTTCTTAGTTTTAAAAAGAAAACAAAAAGCACCGTTATTTAAAATGCTCCCTTAATAGACTTGATCCACTGGTGCCGAAATATGGCATTTAATTGAGCATATGCCCTCATAAGATTTTACATCCTAAATCCTAGTCTCCACCTCCTACAACAAAACCAATGCCAATAAAGAAACTGCACATAGCTATACAATCAAAAATGAGGCAAAAAATTCTGGGCATAGGAGGGTTTGAGAGGCAAATCTTTGAGGAAATCAAAAAGGACAGGACTCATGAGGGGATGGCTTATTTATAGTGTGGGAAACTGCTGTAAGCCTCAGGCACAACATCAAAGAAGAAAGAAGGTAAGAGTGAGAAAAAACAGGAGCAGCAGTAAATTGGGAAGAGTAAAAGAGAAAGAAAGCAGAAATACAGACTCTTTCAAGCAGACTCAGTGCCACTGAAAGAAATGCAGAGGCATTATTTCAACACATTGCTATTCAGCTTGCTTCTGCAGAAGCCTTTGCACACGCACATCTAGAAACACAGACTTTACGATGGGGAAATAAAGGCCCCATTGGCTGCTTTTCTCCACTAAGGGCTTCTCCTCATTACACTGTGTTAGTGCATTCAGCATGACCATAGCAGCCTCAGTAATCTATAACATTAATCAAAACACTTTTCAACCAACCTGGACAAGGCTGAATAAGACTTACCCTGATTTTTTCTGACTGGTTGGATGTGGTCAGCTCTCCATTAGTTATCACAGCTTTTCACAGCATTGTTTTATACCCTCTAACTTCTCCCATTAGAGATGGATGTTTGTTCTAGGATACTTTTATCTATAGCTCTCATTCTTCAAAACTTGCAGCAAACGCTTCATATTAGAGAAGCGCAAACATGTTTGAGTTGCATATGTTATATCTGGAGAAACCATTTCTGAACAGTACTTTTAAATTGTAAAAGGCATTTTGTAATCATCCAGAAGTCTAACAAGGAAAAAGGATTCTGATTCACTGAAGAATAAAAAATGTCACCAGAGAGAGTTTTTAAAAATATGAGGATAGGAGCTTCTGGACAAAATGGATGTCACATCACAGACAAGGCTGTGATGGAAAGGGCGAGTTTAAGTAGCCTCTCATTTGTTTGAAGAATCACTCACCAGAAGGTAAAAGGTGGGAACAGACTTACCAGGAGCTGTGATCCCCAGAACTCCCAGTTCCCCAAGTTTCTTCCAGAACTCCTACAAACACAGAACAAGCAATCAGTCCAGACTCGCAGTCAGGGCATCAGCATAAGAAGTTTTCCCAGGTAGCTCACCGGACACATCAATTTACCTTATTCTTGTGATATCAGAGATAAAGACATCGATACCTATTCCTCCTGCAGCAGCAGGTCCATCCTTTGGACTAAGAACCCACACAAACTTAAGGATGTTAGTTGCGCTACACATGGGAGTAGTCTGTTGGATTCAGTGAAAATGCACAAGCCTAAATGTAATTCTGGAAGGACGGGTCCTAAGATTTAACTCATTGCCCAGTTTAAGGAGAATTTTGATGAATTAAAACCTCCCATTAATTTAAAAAACTGCACTTCTAGGCTTTCATATACTATCTCTTGCTAAAGATAATTTAGGATGTTATGACTTAAATTTATGCTTGTCTTTTATCTCATGCATCCTTGTCACTGTGCTTTGGCAGCACTGTGTAGGCCTATCAGCCTGTGGTTGCCGCAAACAGCGGTTAGCATAAGCTATCCATGACTGAAACCCTGGAAATACTTAGAAGAGTCGCTATTAGCTGGCAATTTAACTCTTCTAGTAAAACAGAAACTGGTAAGTAAAGCCAAGGAGGCCTCCTTGGGAGAGATTAAAAAATGGGAACGTTACAGCTGGGGCAGACAGAGGTGCTGCCCACCTCACGGGCGGTACCAGACAAGTTATAAAAGGTGACCACAACAGAGAATTTGTGAACACTTTGGACTCGTGAAGCTAAAGGAGCTGAATCCACAAGGATTCAGCTCAAGTACATAACTTGTAGGTTTTCAAGACTGCCAGGACACTAGACACACATGGGGACTGGATAGCACTACTGAGTTTTGCATAGTTGGACACCTATGCTACAAAGTTCATCTGCTAGAGGACAAGCTGTCCTCCTTGACTGCTGACTCCTCCATTTGCCTGTTACCCAGATTTGTCCCTCTGGCACCACCACCGCTCAAGTGACAGCCACATGATTCGAGGCACAGAGCTGCTGCCTGACTTGAGACATAGACATCAGCTGTGTCTGGCACATGGCATCACAGAGTAAGAGGGAAGCCGTGACGTAATGCAGCAGCAGAGGGTGTCACCAATGAGGACCGCGCATATGCTGGAGGGGCCATCTCTTCGCTGCTGCTTCGGACTGCAGCCTCTCCTCCACCACGTGATGGACACACAGGTGAACGCTTGTCACATGGCCTCAGTGTCCAGCGATAAGATAATTATCAGTGAATAGTCTCCAGAGACTTCAAAAAGTATTATGCAACAGCTCTGGATGACATCTGGTGCGCCAGACTAAATTTATATACTTAACTTCAAAGCTGCACATATATCCCTGAAAATGTCAACATCAGAGCTCTGGGAAATCCTAGCAGATGTTCTGAGCTTTTTAAGTCTTGTGGAGCTTATGAAAACCAATAGTTAGATCTCTCAGTTTCATCAATCAAACCATCCTGTTGCACAGAATTTGTTGTTTTTATTAGGAAGGCAAGTTTCAGCCCGACAGTCAAACAACCCTAGATTTCAGCATTTGCACGCAATATTTTCACAACAAATTTGAGAGGAAACTCAGATGTCCGAGAAAGGGTCCTAGCTAGGAGAATACAAAGCACATATTAGAGGAGTCTGAATAGAGCCAAGCAGAAATACCACGATGAGAATCCAAACAAGACCATTACCAATCCATCTTTTTGGGTGGTGGGTTTTTTTTTTTCCAATTGCATGCTGGCTGGGTTCTGCCCCAGGTTGCTGAAAGTTGTTAACAAAAGATAAAACAGGAAATCAAAAAATTGTTTACTCTATGGCTTTCAAGTTTGAAAAGTTAATGCATATGTTCCTGTGGTGTGGACTGGGATTCTTTGTCTGCACTAACGTGCAGATCAAAGTACAGACAGGCTTTCACTACCATCTATTTTAAATGCACACATGAAATACTTACCCGCATGCCTTTGAATTCATTTTCCTGGTCAATCTGTTGGGCCTTTGGAGCCAAATGCTCTTGACAGAACTTTGTCATGGTCTGTCTAAGCTGGGAAGAGAGATGAGGAGAAACACATATGTTACATCTCATCGATAGATTGTCGTCCTCTTCCCTCGGATGCTGCCAACGTTCCCCTGCCAGGCGACTCCGGGATCCCAAACCCAGAAGCAGAAGACCATAAAGAAATTGATGTTTCAGGTCACTGGCTGAAAGACCGTATGAAAGGCCCTTTAGTCTTTTAAAGAGAAGATACTGGTGTACTTAAGTTCCTCTCAGCATTTAACCTTAACAATCTTACCCCAACATGAGAGAATGCTACTTAACTACTGCCTGCACTAGGGCTTCTGGGGACGGTTTTGGTCGGGAAACTTTGAAAGCTGATGAACAGAGCTTATGATGTATTAACCCCATCCAGTAGCTGCTTACGGTTTCATTTCATTATATGCAGATGCCTGTAATAAGCATGCATACTAATTAAAATGTGTTAGTGTATCAAACTGGAACTACATTAGCTATCCTACTATTTTCTTCAGAGGGAAAATTTGATAGAGTCAGGTATGCTCGTTGTTCCAAGTGTTAAAATCTCAAAATCTTTTTCTAAATGTTAAAATCTGAGTACTTACATACATGTATTCTGCAGAAGTCTATATGCATACTAAAAAAATATATACAATATCTTTCTAAGTGTTTTTAATATAAAGATTTAAAAAACTTTGTCTAGATATTATGGTAGAGCTTAATAATATCATTTTTTCCTTTCGGATCTTTATTCCTACAAATTAACACTGGTGAAGGAACAGTCTTAGGGACTGAAAGCCTCTGCTGCATAACCAGAACCTGTAGAAGGGGCAGAAGCGACAAACCAAAATCTGCCCAGGCTCCTCTGCCCTTCTCTCAACCCCACAACCAAAGCAGCCTCTTTTTTACAATTAAAAAGACACGCTAGTTTCCACGGCTGCCCAGACCTTGGATTCCAGTACCACCAAACAAGTTACCCCCCCGTTGATTTTTTTTTTTTTTTTTTAAGTTTTTAAACATTAGATATGTTTCCATTGTTACAAAGTGGACAGCAGGAAACTTGAGCATAAAGCTTAAAAGAAAAAAAAAAGCTTAAAACTATAATTTTAAAAAAAGTCTTAATCAATTAGAGACTGAGGGATAGACTCAGACAGACATCCCTGATACTCTAAGCCTGTTTATAAGTTACAGTGCTGTTAGTTCACAGCCCCACTAGCATTATTGAAGATCTACTTCTGATTGTTTTCAGCTTTTCCACCAGATAGATATGAACTACAAGAATATTTTCCTCCTTTTACAGCTGCTGAATGTAGAAGCACAAAGAAACATCAAGTTAATTCGAGCTGACAAGGCTATAAACCATAAACACAAACTTGCTAAAGAATAATTCTGTAGTAAGAAAGAAGCGAGAACGAGTAAGGTTATTTCGGACGTCCGTATGCTCGCACCGTCACAGTTATCTAGAAGGTAGGGCTATAGCTCCAGACCCGCGGAGCACCAAGGAAAAGAGTTTCATGGGCAGAAGCCTGTCTGGACCAGCCCTTTGAAGACACTACCTTTCGCCCCACGCCCTGGGGCAGCAGGGAGCGAGCGCTGCAGCGGAACACGGGAGAAAAGAGTACAGCTAAGAACTATTATCCTAGAACTTAGGTCCCCCATTGGGCAAGAGAACAAGCTGGGAGAGCTGCAACGCTTCTTTTGAGAGGATGCGACCAGACCCAATTCATTTGTTTCTTCGGCGACCGTACTTCTGATCAAACAGGCCCAACGGGAATGCGGTGGGCTTTTTTTTTTTTTTAAACGCAATGCTCCGTCGTGTGGCGTTTCGTCGTGACGAGGCGCCTTCCCCCGACGAGGAAAAGCCAGAGCAAGCCGGGACTG